ACACGGTAGCAACAAGCCTGTTGCCACCCTTAAGCGTCTTTCCTTCCCATTCCTGGCGAATTGCCCTAAGGGAGCAGTGCCCTCTGCTAATAACAACCATAACAAATACTTTCCCTCTCTTCCAGGACAGTGTTGCTTCTTTACGGAGATATTGATACGTCGGGAAGTACTTATACTTCAAAATAGTTTGTGAATTAATTTCTGTCCGTTCATCAAAATACCAGTGTACCGATTTTGTGCACCTAATTTCAGCAAAAAATTTTGTGACCGACAATGTAGCTAATATCGGCTTCATGAGGAAAATTTTGCAAAAACGAAAGGAGTCAAAAGTCTTAAATTATGGCTGTTCTTCTAAGTCAAACAGGATATACAGTCGACTCCCTATCTGTAAATTCCCTTGTAGGAAGGATGGAAGCCTTTGAGGCCTTACAACCATCAAATCCTGGGGCTCCAGGAAGCTACCCCCGAATCATCTCAGCCTGCAATTGACACGTATTACAGACCAAATGCTCTGTGGTTTCCTAATTCACCCCACATCACTGTATAGCCCAAATGTTAAACCCATAAAATCAAAAATGCCGATTAACATCCGAAGCAATGCATCAGGCTTTTGAGTCAATATGAAATACAGTGGTGGTTAGCACAAAAAATGAGCCGGGAATCGTATAACAGCTCCCAATAACAAAACAGTTTCTGGGCAAAACTGCTTTTTTAGCTGTGAAACGAATTTTCAGCCGTTTGGGCTTCGTACACTCGACTATTTGGAATAGGAGACAAACTGATATTTTTGTTGAATTTACATAGCAAAAACCAAATGCATAAGAGGTAACATAACGTTAATATAAACGCAATAAACCATTGCTTCCAATTATTGATGTTTGAAAATCATTTTTATTACGTTATGATGGGTTGAATAAAAATCGGGAAAATAATAGTAACAATTACACAGTAATTTTAATAAGTAAAATCAAATCGAGTCAATTAAGTAACTTATTTTATCATGATTTAAATCAGTTGGCAAACAACAAGGCTACCCTCGATTCAACTCCGTAATGTTTTTCCAATAAATGCTCAACTTCCTGTCCAGTAACTAACCGGTAATATCCTAACCGGATCTTAAACTCGTTTAGAACATTTCTAATGTCTTCGGAGGAAATTAGTCTAAGTACACTCCTGTCGTATTCTTCTTTCAGTACGTTTGGTCTTAAAAACTTTCAGCCAAAAATCAAACAATCGCGAAAATGAACTGCCTTAAGTAAGTGGAAAACGCACTTTAATAGAATCTTAGGAGTTCTTCCACTATAATTTTAGTTGCGAAGGTAGTAGTACGACCCTTGGTAAACACGATTTGAGAAGAATTTTACAAGAAAAAGCTAAAAATCCCACAATCCGGCTCATAATATCACTCGAAAAAGAAAGTCCACATCTTTAAGTAAGGAAAAACTCGCTTTTATAGGAAATGTCTAGAAGTTTTAAATTCTTTTTCAGTTACTAAGGCGAGTCAATGCCGATCGGAAGCACGAGGTTTTCAAAAATTCCTCAGAGAAAAATCAAAAATTTCAAAATTTTTAAAGTGAAAATCAGCGAGGAAAAATCCACTTTTCCACAAAGAAATTTCTGGAAGTTTTCAAGAGTTGTTCAGTTACGAAGAGATCAGCACTAGATTAATATCATGTGACCATCTTTTTCTTTTGACTTTTTCCGCTCTTTTAATTACGGGTGTCTCCAATAACAGCATGAGCGTTAGAAAATCTATGGAAAATACGACCTTTAAATTCTCAAGCCAAGYGTTGACYCACRACTGAGAGCACAAAAAAATTGCGTTCTAGGTATAAGCACACTCGCTCGGAATCGCTCGCATCGTTTGGCCATTTTCAGCATCGCATCGCCCAGCTYGGTCGCCGGTGTGCAAGTACTCTGAATCATTAACAGTGGATTAAATCTGTTGAATCAACGACTTGTGTTTCGCCATAACTCTAATTAATCTTGAAGAAATTTAATCAATAGTGAATTTAACCATTTCAAGACGCCGGCTAGTCACGATGATCGATTAACGAGAAAATTCGACGTAAAAGAACTAAACATTGGCATTCAAACTGAAACCCGGACACGGGACGGATCTGTGTTATGATATTACCTTGTCATCGTCTGAAGAGGATAATTATGTGCAGTGCAGGCTGTGGTAAAAAGCCCAAACGTTTAAACCGCGGGTTAAGTACTTTAAAACCTTCTTATTTACTGCAAGTACCTACCTCTAATAATATATGAACTAGTGATTCATCTATCGTGTGTCTTGTTCTATTAGTTTTATAATATGAAGCATGAGAGAAAGTTCATGTATTCAATAACAGAAAAATGTTGACAGTCAATTTATTAAATAAACCCTAACCTAATAAGCGAGTTAGATCCAATCAGACGCACGGGTTTCATAGAAATACGATATTGCCCAAAGTTAATTGAGAGTTATTGGGAATTATAAATACTGTCATGCAGTAATAAGGTTACTCCTTATTTTAATACTACATTAGCTTTATTTCTTTAACGAAATTATAGTTATTGCAATGTTTAGTTCACTGTTTTCAGTATTAAAAGTGTATTATTTACCTTTTTGTTGGATTTTGGATGCTGTTTGAGCATTTCCACGTTATTGTTACCGCGCAAGTGAAAATAAAATTGAATACTTAATGTTAGACAATATATTTATAAACAGGGATTGTTATGAGAACGAAGATTTTTCTTTAGAACAAGTGACCGATGAAGACTAGCTAGAGAAAACTTAGCTTTCAGTTTCTCATCTACCTAAGTCATCTCTTATTTTCTTCCCTAAATTGGAAGTTTGTTGTTCTTTCAACAATGACCGCTTGGTGTTGTCTTTCAATTAGTAACAAAACATGTTGCTTCAACGTTCTTATTAAAACGTGTTTTCCACTTCTAATCGCAATATATTTTTAGATTATTTCCCATCCTTGGGACTTTGAAAATAATGGAAACAAATTCCGTTAATAAGGTGACATCATCCTCGGAAATGGACCTTAACCGTGTATTCTTATATTCGCTCATTTTGAAAAAAGTCCTCCGACAAAAAAAACGTGTATTTGAAACCGAGTTATATAATGAAATAACATATAAGCGGACGTTAGAAATGTGAACTGCCAGTATAAAGTAGAAATAAATCGTACAGTATCGCTGCACAAATAGCACAGAACAGTATCTTTATTAAGGAATACCAAATTTTTAGACTCAATGGCGTAGGCGTATGTGTCAAAATACCACTTATTTTATTAGTGCATGTCCTTATTGACCGTTCAATAACTCTCTATCGACGATAAAAGCTCGTTCACACGGTGACATTAATGCCGTGACATCTAATATCTGCCACAACAGTGTCCTTGTCTGAACAATTGAAGGTCACAGTGTCGCGATGTTAGTATCACATACCAGTTAAAAATGGTTTGACATACGACATCGATTGGCTGCTGTCACGACATTAATAGAGATTTATTAGACGGTCAATAAGAACATGCAGTAATAAAGTTAGTGCATGTCCAGTATTTTAACACATACGATTGTGCAATTGAGTCTAAATATAAGGATCCTTTGATAAGGATACTGTTCTGCGCGCTAATTGTACAGCCATGTTGTACAGCTTTATTTCTACCTTAAACTACCAGTTGACATTTCTAACGTCCGCTTGCAGGTTATTTCATTGTATACACAACCTAGTTTGTATTTCTACATGTTTTTCCATTGTAACAGTTAAGCGGAAATGCTCAAACAGCGTCCAATGTCCAATAAAAGGTAAAAAATGCAAAGATAACAACGTAAAGTAGAGTGAGGTTAGACCTTTTAATATTGAAAGCAGTAAACTAAACATCCCAATAACTATCATTTCGTTAAAGAAATAAAGCTAATGCAGTATTAAAATAGGAATTAACTTATTACTGCATGACAGTATTTATAATTTTCAATAACTCTCTAATGTTACCGTGTGGGCAAGCTTTAAGTTAATCGGAGTTGTGTATATTTTCCTGGCTGTATTTCAACTTAATTCAAGAGAAATTCCTGGGTTCCAGTCAATTTTATTGTTTACCATTTAAAATATTACAAAAACGTTTCGGTGTTTTTCTCCACCATCCTCAGTTTGTTTTAAATGGTAAACAATAAAATTGATTGGAACCCAGGAATTTCTTTTGAATTAAGTTAATCGGAGTGACATATTTCTAGAGGAGAGCAATACAATTTAATCATTACTTAAACGGTTGATTAAATATTTGCTGTGATTAATTAATCACAGATTAAATGACAGTGAAATATTACTAGAGCGTCAAAAATGAACTTTAAGTTTTAATGCAAACGAAATTTGTTCATGTACCTGCCAGAAATTACTTATTTACTTTTGTTTTCTTCTTCTCATGGCTCTGTATGTTTTATTTTTCATTTGCAACAATCTTATTAAGGCAGCTTTTCGCTGCATTCCGGTGCGTTTTACTCATAATATTTTAATTCTGTAAAACCATCAATTTCTAAAATATTAATATCATCAACGAAGAATTGTTCTTTTATTGTCGGCATAACCTGTTTAATCATAATGTGTTTATCCACATACACACTTACATACATTTCTGTGTTGAACAAGTGTCCGAATATTAATTTACATTGATGCGAATCAACAAAAACCATTTGATAAATTGGATTTTCTAAAGCAGCGTTTTAAGTTTAGAAAAATAGGGCAAAAATACGAACTTAAAAAAATTACATTAAACCATGATTAAATATTTTCTAGTTCAAATTTTCCACATGTAAATCAAATTTGTACCGCACTGTATCCAAGTCATCAATAGCATATTGATGTTTTTATTGTGCGGGCGGTTACTGAATCACAGTCAATTTTAAATATCATTGCGCAACTTCTAAATCGGTTGAAACTATGCTTTCAGTATGTACGAACAGTTGTATCAAACTCTTTAGACGTAATTACATTTTTATAATTTTATTTCCAGAAACAAACATCACTAACAGAAAATGTAAGAGCCGAAAACTAAGAATTAAAAAAGGTAAAGATGTCTATGTTGTGCTAACAAAAAGATACTAAAACCAACATCGGTTTGTGTTAAATTACTAACATTCGGCAATATTAAATCGAACGGGGGAATTCCGTGTTACTAATACTTGTTTTAAGCATGAGTTTGTATATAAACACATTAACTATTTATTTGACAATAATGTTTTTCAAAGAGAGTCTATTTCTACTTCTTCTTCGTAGATATTCTAAGTGTGCACATGAAAGATTTAATTTGGAATTGTTTATATGTGTAGATCAGTTACTTGCTATGTAACATTGCTTTGCAACTCTTACAGGCACGATTTTGAGTAGGCTAAAATTTGTGTTTCCGCATTACTGAAAAAAGAAAAAGTAATTCTTTAGGCCAACCTGTAGAGCATTTTTGCTTTGCATGAAAACTAGTAGCGAACCGATTATGCGATGATATAAGAGATAATGAGCAGATGAATTTAGGGATGATACGATACTGAGAAAGTATCGATACTTACTCAAATGAGTAGTAGCCAACCATCTTGCAATAACACTCATATCAGTATTCTGAAGGTATCGAAACCATCACCGACTCACAATTAACTGACTCAACGTGTAATCGTCATAATAGTAATTTTCGATACACGGGCGAAAAGTGTCGTTTTTTGAACGACGACGGCGTTTCGAGGAGTTCGAAAATCGGATTTCCGCCCTCGTATCGAACAATATTTTTTATTCGAATAAAGAACATAGCACGAATAAAAAGTTATAATAATAAAAATAGCCAAAAATAAAAGCCGTCAACTTCATATTTTAAATTTGATGTCAATGCAATTTTTGAAATTGTCATGTTTTGACGTTTGTAATTTTTCAAAAGCGTACTTTACAAAAAAAATATTACAGATTATTTTACAGGCAGGCGGTGCTACCCGACTACAATTAATACTCTAATCAGCTGATAAAAAAATCATTGTTTCAAAAACAACACCTGTAAGTATAACACTGAGGGAGATAACTATTTTTTCCATTGTCAGTCACCAAGTCTTTTGAATTACATTGCAGATTTAAATATCTTTAACCACAGTCCTCTACCTACAAAATAATAATTCGGCTGGAAGGCTCAAATCAAATAAATTAAATTGTTTTAATTTATAATGGTTATAATGGTCGCATTTATTGGCCCCGTGTTTTTTGTCTTTGTATACTCATGGACGTTGAGAAGAAAAATGAATGACAGAGTGGGTATCTAATGCATCTGGAAATGCGCTCTGATGAATGCCATCAGTGGTATTTCATTGCAAAGCCGTTGAGAACAAATTGCTTAATGTAGCAAGGGAACTTTCACAAATAATTAACTATTTTATTCATTACAGAACCAATTGTAATTGTCCTATCAGATATTTCTTAATGGGAAACATTTATACTTTCAGTAGAAATTATTTGATTTCGTTAATTACATTTGTATTGTTAATATTATGAAGCACATTAGACAGTTGGTAACTTTAGTTCTCACCTTTATTTCAATGCAGTTTTTCACATCAATTAATTTAATCTTGCATGTGCTTTCACCCATTATTTTAAAGAATTGTTTATAAGTAAGCTGTTTGTTTTATTTCCCTGAAGACGTCAGACATTTGTTAAATATTTCATCTTGCATTATACACACAAATAAAAGCATGTGAGTTAGTGCTCCACATTGTAAATATGATTGCCGCGCCGGAAATAGTGAAAAACATTTTCAGAGAAACGTGGGGCAACAAATGATACACGTTCCAGCTCATTTACATTCTTGTTTCATTTAATTGCCTGTCGTTAAAAAGCAAATCTGGACTAAACAGAGTCGTGACCCCAATGCTAGTTAGAGCAGATAAGTTATTTTGTTCTCACAAAATCTGATCTTACTTTTTAAATACTAGTCACCCATTCACAGTAACAAAGTCGATCAAATCGACGTTGGTATCTCCTGATAACGTACACGTTGCAATCGAAAACGAATCAAACTTCTTAACCTGTTCGCACTCTCAAAAATACATTCATCATCATTTTCTGATTTCACTTGATCGATACCAAATTCACCAATTACTTGGAGTTTTTTTATTTCACTTTACCGAATCGATTTAACATGGAGTTGATTCGTATTTCTCTCAATACTAATTGATGTCAATTTCAACCAATTCCAAAGTCATGTGACACTTTTATTCAATTTTGAAAATTTCCCTGCCATAAGGGCCTGTACAAACTCTTCGGTTTTACCTCTGTAGCTCACATTAGAATTTTTTTAAACCAATTAAAGTCGATTTGTCATGTAACTTTTCCATATCTATCCACCTGTCGAGGAATAGTTCGGAAAAAATTAAAAAATGTTTGGCGAAAAGTTTGATGGGTAAAAAAACCCTTGCGATTTTTTCGAAATAAAATATTACATTTTATTTTTCGCGCGAAAATGCGCGTTTCCTATCGAAAAAGTTAATCTTTATAAAATTGCGGCCTCGTCGGGCACTATCCAAAGGTATTTTTTTATATATTTATTGAAGAGGAATATTGATTTCGTGTCACCTTTGATAAATTTTCTCACTCAGAAGACTCAAACGAAAAAATTCTCGATACTTCACCAAAGGTGGCATGAAGACAATGTTCACCTCTTTAGTAAAGCAGACTTTTGTCTGTAGAATAGTATTAAAACGGGCCTTCTGGATAGTCGCACTTTTGAGTAACGTATTTTTGAAAAAAGTGCGGAAAGCCTAACTGCGTTTTCAAACCTCAAACTTTAAAGAATCCAAAAGTTTAGGAAAATTTGTTAGGGCTGGTGAAAGCAAGGCTTTTAATAAACACGGTTTGAGGACAATTTAAAAATAAATGGGTTCCAAACGTGCTAGACCTGAAACTTTCAAGCTTCAAACTTGAAAAACTACCGAAAATGTACACTTTCGAATTGTCAGACTATGAAGGCTTTCACGGCCGGTTAAATTACATTTAGGAATGTTTTCCGGGCTTTGAAGCCGTGGTCTATCGGAATTTCTCCCTGACGTTTCGTCCACAACTGCGGTGAACATTTCCGACTAAGACCGTCTCAGATCGTCAGTCTTAGTCGGAAAGCACGGGAGATCACTTCGCCCACTGCCTCATCGCCTTTGAAAATGTCCGCCGCAGTTGTGGACGAAACGTCAGGAAGAAATTCCGATAGACCAAGGCTTCAAAGCCCGGAAAACATTCCTAAATGTTACTTACGAATTGATTGTCGATGATGAGTATAATTTGCGCTGTGAAGCGGTACTAAAAGCGGTCTTCTAGATCATCCAGATTTTGGGTTCCGACTGTTTGAAAATTCCCTTGCTAGAGTGCTGTAATCCAAACTGCATTTCACGCTTTAAACTTAAAAAACCAGCCCAAAATAGAGCAGACCGTCCTCTACTGAATAGCTCAAAACATGGCTGTCCAGCTCACCCGAGGTTTTAGGGACGAATTTTTGAAAGATAGTTTCCAAAAGTCTTGAAACTGAATTTTTATCTCAAGAATTGAGGAAACCTGCGAATCAATCGCCACTCCCAAGCTTAATAGAGGAGGACGTCCTGTCGTGAAAGGTCTTAAAGGGAGTCTTCAAAAGTCTGCTCCAACGATGCTAGAGCTTCAAACTTAAAAGACTCGCCAAAAATTGAAGAAAAGTTAAGAAAACTGGAAACTTGCAGAATAAATGAGCAAATGCCTCCTCTATCTGTACTATATACATGGTGATTCAAAATTGGCGTCATTACTTTTAAGGATATATAGGGGCCCACTTAGAGAGTACGAGAAAAATATTGGAATTTTTTTATTTTTTATTTCTAAGAGATAACCTTTAACAGGTGGTTTTGAATGACAGTTGTGACCCATTTAGTTATATCACTCATTTGCCCCAAAAAGATGGCAGCACTCGGTAGGATGTTTTGTCGCAGCGCTGACCGCAAGGTGACACCGTTATCCTAACCTCAACGCATCTGATTGTCGCTTTTATTTTCTTTGCTTCATGTTTATCCAGGGTTACCGGAGTTTTTAATAACTACGAAGGAACAGGTATTTACGAAATGTTAATTAGGCAGATTACCTTGAAAGGCATGGTTGTCATCTTTCTGATATAGTTTTTTGCAAATATCTCACTTTTTTATTAATTTTAATTAAGTTAAAAAACATTTAATTTTTTTTACTATTTTTTCTGTACTCCCAAGACACCCCCAGACAACACCTCCAGAGGAATGACGCCAATTTTGAAACACCCTGTATTTGTCGAAAATATGGTTTTCAAAAAACTGCAATTATCTCGATAATCAAAAAAGGTGAACGGAATCTAATCAGTCCATTTGGTCTTTTTTTAACAAAGCGTATAGATGTATAGATTTGTTCCGCGTAAACAGTTCTTTCTCAATTTCACCTTGAAATCACTTTGATTCTGACCCGACAAACGAGTCAAACTGAGCCCGGATTTGGATTTAGCAGGTCAAAATACTACCGGATATAAGTGTCTCAACCCCAGATCAAAAACAAATTTAGTTGTATGGCTGTGTTTTTGAAAAAAAAATGTTAATTTCTCCATCCAAGAACTTTGTTTGCATCTCAAAGCCATTGTTTTGTTGAGATATATCTGGAGTAAACGCCATCAGTGTTGCACGTAATTTGTATTATTTTTTAAATATTTCATTAATTGCGGTATTAGGTACTGGCGATGGTAACAACTATGTAATGTTCTCAAGTAAAATTATCTGCTCACAAAACGATTTTTCTATTAATTACCTGGAATTATACATTGAAAACTTGCAAGAAAACCCCTTGATTTTAGCATAACGAATAAAACCAGTGTCTATGCAACATTTCCCTGAAAACAATGGAGCAGGCTTGGCCATTGATAGTCGTAATTCTTTTATATTCATATGAAATATTCAAACAACAATCTATTCACTATTGTTTTGTTTTCCGGTTGATAAATGCGGACGTCCAATCATAGCTATTCTTTATGTACTTTTGGTTTTTAGTTTGCTTAGTGCGAAGCAC